TTAGGCTGAAGGAAGGCTCTAAATGTTGCTTAGTGTAGTTTTAGAATACAAACAGTTGTATTTCAGGTGATGGATGAAATATTAGGAAATATGACCACTGGGCCGCTAAGCTGGAGCTGGCACACATGGAAGTCTTTAAGATGAGGGAATTCAATTCTTATGCATTTGTGTGTGAACTAACCTTGAATTGGCACCAATGTGTCACTGTAGTTTGGACTTCTGAATTTCAGTTGCTTTCCTATTTATTGGTACCAGAAAAACAACTTGGGTCATTGTATCCCATGCTGAGTGGTAAAGTATGAAAGCTTCACTGTGGTTAGTGTTGATAATCTTATAACAACTCCTAAGATAGGAAACATTTGTTTTGTTTACGTCCCTTCCCCACCCATTTATTAAATGATGACTCAAAAACCTGCATTGGGCCTAAAATACATTGCTTTTCTTTAGGCAGGATGTCCGTGTTGAAAAAGGCAGGACTTGCAGAAAAGTATGAAAGAAACATAGCTCTCAAGCTTTCCCTGGCAACTGGGTGTAAATTTGCTTTATGTGGGTATTGGTTTTCACCAGGAAGTGTAAACAATATATGGGAGTTGCGGCTTTTGTGTTCTCCAAGGAATATAATTACACATGTTCTTTAAGGAGAGGCTAGAACTAAATTTTATCACCTTGATCATACCAGGTGGGGTTGGGAGGCAGATTTTCTTAGTTGAAATAATACCTCAAGATTGTTAAAAGCTCTTGGAGTAATTAAATCCAAACTCCACATTTTGCATAGATGTCCTAGGATACACTGAGAGACATTGTAAAAGGGGGGGGGGGAATCTGTATGCTTTTCCACACTGTATCCTGGTGTTTGATATGGAAGGAGTGTTTTGAAAATCCAAACTTCCTTCAACGTTTCTGATCACTTCCATGTATTCCATCAACCCTTTCCTTTTTATGAGCTTGTAATACTCAGAGTAAGAGTTCTAACCACAACTTTCTGATTCTCAGTAGTATGAAATCGGTGCTCATTTTATATCATAACACAGTATCATAGCTACCACTTCTGAGAGCAGTTCTTACTATGCTGCTTTTCCTCATGGAGGTATTTTGTAAGTAAGCTGTGTGGTATAGTGTGTGTGTGTGTGTGCGTGTGTGAGAAAGAGAGAGTTATTTCGGTGAAACTTGTTTCTATTAAAGCAGAATATCTCTAGTGTTTTCAAAGTATTCTGTTACATAGGTACAAAGGTACATCTGTCTCTCATACCTGATACAATGCAGTATCCACTACACATAACTTGGGTGTTCATAGTGGGTTGGATTGGTCTAATGCCTCGGATAGTTAAATGGAATCTCCTATTCAGAAGGAATATACAAATGAGGAATGTCACTTTTATTTCCTGCTTGTACTTCCAGGATGACTATCAGAGACAGAACACTCTGGTATGTGGGCTTTAGTCTGACCTTCACAGTGCAGTCTTACTAGTAACATGCTTACCTCACTAGTGTGCTTCAGTCTGCCACAAGAGAATAACTGGTCAAGCATTTGCAGTGAAAAGCAGCCACCTGAGCCTACTGTACAATATAAGACAGCATAAGACATCAATAAGCAGTGTAGTAGGGCTAGGGCTGCAAATTAGAAAACAAAGCAGACAGAATGTAAGAGAACATGAGAGAAGCCATGTTGGATCAGGCCAATGGTCCATCCAGTCCAACACTCTGTGACACACAGTGGCCAAAACCTAGGTCCCATCAGGAGGTCCACCAATGGGGCCAGAACGCCAGAAGCCCTCCCACTGTTGCTCCCCAAGCACCAAGAATACAGAGCATCACTGCCCCAGACATAGTGTTCCACCTATATCTTGTGGCTCATAGCCACTGATGGACCTCTGTTCCATATGTTTATCCAAACCCCTCTTGAAGCTGTCTATGCTTGTAGCCACCACCCCTTCCTGTGGCAGTGAATTCCACATGTTAACTACTCTTTGGGTGAAGAAGTACTTCCTTTTATCTGTTCTAAACCTCCTGCTCTTTAATGTCATTGAGTGCCCATGATTTCTTGTATAGTGAGAAAGGGAGAAAAGTACTTCTTTTGTAAACCTCTATCATGTCACCCCTCAATCATCATTTCTCCAAGCTGCAAGCCCTAACTTCTTTAACCTTTCTTCATAGGGATGTTGTTCCATCCCCTTAATCAGGACCCTCCTCCCTTGTCACCTCAATCTGTCTCAGGTCTTTCGATATCAGTAGTTCTGGAGTGGACAAGCGCCTCCTATCTTCCACAGTGAAGACAGAGGCAAAAATGCATCCAGCTTCTCTGCCATTTCCCTATCATCCTTTAGTAATCCTTTTAAGCCCTTGGTCATCAAATGGCCTCCAGGCCTCTCTGGCTGGTTTTCTGCTTCTAATGCATTTGAAGAGGTTTTTTAATTGTTGGCCTTTATGTTTTTTGCAATATGTTCCCCATATTCCCTTTTTGCCTGTCTGATCACTGACTTGCATTTTATTTGCCACAGCCTGTGCTCCTTTTTATTTACCTCACTTGGACTAGCCTTCCACAGCTTAAAGGAATCCCTCTTACCTTTTACTGCTTCCATTACTTGTTTGTTAACCATGCTGGCTTTTTAAAATACCTATTCGTACCTTTCCTAACCTGTGGTATACATTGTATCTGACGTTCCAATATTGTGGTTTTAAATAGCCCCCAAGCTTTCCAAAGGGGGTTTGACCTTCCTTATTTTTTCTTTCAGTTTCTTCTTCACAAGCCCTCCCCTTCTAAAGTTATATGTGGTTGTGTTGGTCTATGGTGGTACCTACCATAAACAGTACAGAAAGTGAATTACAAAGATAGAATGATGGTATTGTAAAACCAAGATGATTCATACAATATTCATTACAATAGACTACAATCATGTTCCCTTAGAAAGTCACCCTCATGGACTGTTTCATTATACTGCAGTTCTAGTCACCTTATAAAAATACACACCTCAACATTTCTGTTTTGCACGTTCTGTCTCAGCAAGGAAGGTGTAGTATAAATAAAGCAAAATAATAAAACCTCTTCTTCAGAATTGGCTGTGCACATAGACTCCAGTTGTCATCTGTGAGCTCATTGGAGCTCTACTGAAGGCAGAAAAAGACAAGATAATGACGCATGTTTATTGGATTAATGTCGATTGGCTTGGAGGAAAAATCGGCATCCTTTTACCTCCTTAAAATCCCAGAATAACTCCTGCTCTTAATAAAACCATGGGGGGGGAGGGTCTGTGCTGTGTGTTTAAAACTTCCCTTTAATATAGTGATTTGTTGTCCTAATTCCAAAAGGATGTTAAGATGTCATGGTCCACAGAAATAACAATCCTGGCTCAGTTTAACAGTGTGCTGTGGAATTAAAAATACAAAATAACAAAAAGCTAAATCCAATGTAACAAACTGCAACACTTGTGAAGCACTTCAGATAATGTTTCGTTCATTGCCCTTCATGAACAAAGCTGCAGGTAATTAATCTAAAGGACTGGGGTCTTGGAAGTGTTGTGTGCATGCCTCTGTCCCAGGGAAGATACTGAAGCAGAATTTAAAGGGATTGATCTGCGAGCATCTAAAGGACAACTTGGTGATCCGAGGAGGTCAGCACGGATTTGTCCCCAGACCAACCTCATTTCCTTCTTTGATCGAGTGACAAGCTTACTGGATCGAGGGAATGCTGTTGATGTTGTTTACCTAGATTTCAGTAAAGCTTTTGACAGGATTCCTCATGATGTTTGGATGGATAAACTAGAGGAGTGTGGACTGGGCTCTAGGATAGTTAGGTGGATGGGGAACTGGTTGGAGAACTGCACTCAGAGAGTATTTGTCAATGGCATTTATTGGAGGGAGGTGTCCAGTGGGGTGCCACAGGGCTCGGTTCTGGACCCAGTACTTTTCAATACTTTTATAAATGATCTGGATGAGGGTATGGAGGGGCTTTTCATTAAATTTGCAGATGTCACTAAATTGGGAAGAGCAGCGAACACACGAAGATAGAGATAGAATTCAGCGAGATCTGAACACACTGGAAAAATGGGCAGATGTGAACAAGATGCAATTTAACAAGGATAAGTGCCGAGTTGTACATCTGGGTAACAAAAATGAGGAACACGCATACTGGGGGATACACTTCTGAGTCGCAGTGTGTGTTTGTGTGAACAAGATCTTGGGGTACAGGTGGACCGGAAGTTAAATATGAGCAGCCAGTGTGATGCAGCAACAAAAAAGGCTAATGCAATCATGGGGTGTATCAACGGAGGCATAACATCCAAATCACAAGATGTCATAGTCCCACTGTACACTGCATTAGTCAAGCCACACCTGGAGTATTGTGTGCAGTTCTGGAGGCCTCACTTCAAAAAGGATGTGGACAGGATGGAGCGTGTGCAGAGAAGAATGATGAGGATAATCAGGGGTCTGGAGACCAAGCTGTATGAGGAAAGGCTGAGGGACTTGGGAATGTTTAGTCTGGAGAAGAGGAGGTTGAGGGGGGGGACATGATGGTTCTCTCGAAGTATTTGAAGGGCTGTCACTTAGAGGAGGGCAGGGATCTGTTCCTGTTGGCAACAGAGGATAGGACTCACAGGAATGTGTTTAAATTAAGGGTGGGAAGGTACCAGTTGAATATCAAGAAAAACTTTTTTACACTAAGAGCTGTGCAACAGTGGAATCAGCTGTCTAGGGAGGTGGTGAGCTCCCCCTCACTGGCAGTCTTTAAGCAGCGGCTGGACAAACACTTGTCAGGGGTTCTGTAGGCTGATCCTGTGTTGAGCGGGGGGTTGGACGAGATGGCCTGTAAGGCCCCTTCCAACTCTGTGATTCTATGATAAGGGTCATTAATATGGTTTAATATCACATTATATTTTGAAAAAGATCAGATTTTGTTCCCAAATGATAGAGCTGCAATCTATATGTAAACTACAATAAATTGTTTAATTCTTGGACTTGTGGCCCTGATTTCCTTATCCATCACTTTTCTGTCTCACTTTTAGGTGAATGTTCGTGTTATTACTATGGATGCAGAGCTGGAGTTTGCCATCCAGCCTAATACTACAGGCAAACAGCTGTTTGACCAGGTTAGTATGAGTGGGTGCAGTATTTTCTATAAAACTGTAACAGTTTTCTGCAAATGGCTGAAGTACTTGTTTTGTAAAAAAAGGGGGGGGGTCTGAGCAGCTTCTTGAAGATCTGCCTCCATACAGGTCAACAGTAGAAAGCAAGTATCCTTAACAAAATTTTACTTTTGTGGGCACCTAAAAGACTTAGGGTAAAGTAAAGGGCCTTTAACTTCTGGATAAAAGGAAGATGGAGGAACCATAAAAATAAAAGCAAGATAGAACTTATTGGAATTGGTGACTTCTGCTTTGCCTTGTCTGGGGCTGTCCAGTCATTTTGTCAGATCAAAATTCCATCAGTATCGAGATACAGCAAAGCTGTGCTGTGTGAAACATAATAACCTAAATGAGTCCCTGTGCCAGGTCTGCCATGTGAAGAGTATCCTCTACAACTAGAACACAAGTCCTAGGATAAAAAAGGAACCTTTTAAGTCTTGTTTATACATGGCTGCCAGCTTGACACAAAAAAATCTTCCGGGGAGGTAAATATGGAAGAGATTCACATGCTTAATCAGAAAGTAACTTTATCAACCTAACCAGAATATAGAATAGAAAGAGAGGGAGCAAGACAGCAGCAGAGATCAGCAAGACTGAACTATTTAATGGCAACAGTACAACAGCAATTTACATCTGGCAATTCAGTAGAAATATTCACTGTTCATACTCCTAGTGTTCGATTGCGTCTTTAGGTAAATGCTTAAATAGTTACTTTGAGTATAAATTGTGTTGTTCCAAATGGCTAGACTAGAGAAAAGCAACCCGAGGACAGAAGATTTTCAAATGGGAAGAGCAGGAGTCCCTCGCTAGGTTAGGGTGCTGTGGGAAGTGACTGACTGGCTATAAGGCAGACCAGTGGCAACAGGAGAGACAAGAATAGGTAGGAAGACATGAAGGGTGAATTGTAGGAAGGGGAAGCAGAATAGGAGGAGGAGAAAAATTATATTCTGCCTATCTTGACAAGGAGGCACCAGTGATTGCAGCATCTAGTGATTGTGGAAGAAGTGGTAATCCTGCGATTTTAGCGTTGGAAGATAGTCTGGGAACAAAATAACTGAAAATGGAGGGCTAGAAATGCCCATCCTATCCTTATAAACATGTTTTAGAGTGGCAAAATTCGATGCACGCCAAAATCTGCCCTGTGCAGCACACACAGCTCCCCCTGCGGAGGCCCATTTGCCAAGTCCTTCCCCACCGCTCTGTGCTTCTGCCTCGGATGAGCCGGGACAGAGGTAGGTGATCAGGCCCCCCCAATCCCACGTGTGGCGTCCCCAGGGGAAGAGTGGAGGCTGCCGCGCCTGCCAAGGAATTCTGATGGTGCTGCCGGCAGCAAGGTCAACAGGGAACCGGACACAGTGGAGACAGCCGGGCGGGCAGCAGGAGAGGTGCTGCTGGACCGTTCTGCTGCCCTGAACTCCGGGGTCTCGGGATTTCTTTCTTTCTGTCTCCCTCCCTCTGATTCTCCCTCTCTCCGCCGAGTCTCCAGACCCTCTTCCTAGAGCTTGTTCCATTCATTTCCACAATGGGCCTTATTGCTAGTATAATATATACACTTTTCTGTCTTCATGGGGTACTTGTGAACTAATGCTGCTGGTGGTCCCCAGCCCCAAGGATGTCCGCCTAGCCTCGACCAGAGCCTTTTTGGCTCTGGCCTGGTGGAACACTCTCCCTGCTGAGGCCCTTTGGGACTTAATGCAGTTCCCACAGGGCCTGCAAAGCAGATATGTTCTGCCAGGCCTATGGCTGAGGTGACGGAGATCTATTTATCTTGGCCTCTCTCTCTGCATTGCTTGTTCTGCTTATTATGTACAATTTAGTTGTTTGTTGTCTGCCCCATCAGTGCTAATTATCATCCATCTGCACACATGTGGGGAACTTATGTGGGAGCAGTTAGACATGGAATAACTGGCAAAACCATCAATTGTTATAATTGCTATTTATTGATGTTTTACTGTTGTCTAACGCTTGGTTTGTAGTTTTAAATGTTGGATCATGTATTTATTATCTGTTGTAACTCGCCCTGAGCCTGCTTGCAGGGTAGAGCAGGCTAGAAGCCCAATGAAATAAATAAATAAACAAAACATCAGTGCTTTGTAGTCCTGTGAAATGTGAACAGGTCAGGAGCTGAGCCTTCCTGACTGACCAAATTGTGAACTTATGGTTTTAATTGGGTAGGTACACATTTCCCTAAAGGTTAAGCACCTTGGAGAATCACAGGAAATGTGCCAAGGAATACCTCAGATGGCTTGGTGACTGAATTGGTCTAGGTGGCAATCTTGTCTCTGATCTGCCACCTGCAACTTGCTCTTCCTGGGTTTATGACTGAATAATCTGGCAAGAGTTTTGGCTATTGTCCTACAAACATGGGTTGTAGCCAGTGTTCCCTCTAAGCTGAGTTAGTGTGAGCTAGCTCACAGTTTTTTAGCCTCTGGCACACACATTTTTGTCTCAGCTCAGGAGGGATGGCTCCAGAGCAAACTAATTTATGCAGTAGCCAAATCGCTTGCTCACAACTTTAACGCCAGTAGCTCACAAAGTAGAAGTTTTGCTCACAAGACTCCACATCTTAGAGGGAACATGGGTTGTAGCACTGTGTCCAAAAGAGTGTGAGGGGCTTTGGAAGGATCCATGGTTGGTGTTCTTCTGGCATCTTCAGGCAGTTGGCTACTTTCCCTTGAAAGCTCCCAAGGGACTTCTTGCCTTTAATTGAAAGACCCTTCTTTAGTATCTGACTAGATGCATTTCCCTGCACCTAACACATCTGAAGACCAAAAGATCAAACAAAAGACCAAACAAAACAGGCCTGTAGTCTTTTAGAAGTGAGGGCCAAATGTGATTTTCAATAGAGCTGCTCTGTTTTGGAATAAAAGACTGTCACTTTTGTAAAATGGGCTGAAATCTTCCCGTGTAAAATTGTGCTGTATTTCCGTAGACATCTGTAACTTTATTTTTGTGGATTGATGTTTCTCCCCACCCCCATTGGCCTTGTAATGTAACAGAGTACTTAGTTAATAAATATGTTTCTAGGTTAACTGGCTGCTAATGAATTATTGCTAGGGTTCAAGTACAGGTTCTGCTATGTTAAATCAACATGAGTAATTGTAGAAGTATGTATTAATCATACTTAAATTACTTAGCACCTGTCGTTGCTGTGGGATTACCGAGTTGAGAGAACAAAATACCCTGTAATAAGGAGAAGTGATAATGACCTAATGGTCTATATCCCAGAGGGTGTTAATGTGTTTGCTGTGCTGTGTATAATTGGAAGCAGGCTCCTGCTTAGCAGAATACATCACAAAACTTGTGAATGGATAATCTCCATTATTCTACCTGATTAATTACTTCAAAATCTTCTTCAGAGATTTTTGTGGTGGTGGTGGTGGTGATTTTAGAAAAAATATGGGATATTTACGAGGGAGTGTAAACATTTCTCAAACACTACAGAGAGACAGAAAATGATCCTCTTGATAAGGTGATTGTGCACAAGAGTGGGTGCTCTCCCACTTGCAATTACTTTGCCTCTCATTTCTGCAGTGGGGCTCGATTGGTAGGTCCACGCCCACAAGATATTGGTGCATGCAACTAAGCATACATGGTTTAAATAGCTTTCCAAAGGGGGAGAAAATGGATTTGGTGAATAAATAACAACTGGAAGAGTTTCAGAGGGTAGCTATGTTCACAGGGTACCTGCAGTAGAACAGGTAAATTTGAGTCCAGTAGAGACCAATAAGATTTTCAGAGTATGAGCTTTCAAGAGTCAAAGTTGTCTTTTTCAGATACCACAACAATCTTGTTGGTTTCTAAGCTGCTCCTGGACTCAAATGTAGCTGTTCAACTGGAATAGTTATTAGCTAGTAGTTCCCTGTTGGCTCTAACCCTTTGTAGCAGCCAGTCTCTTCAAAAATGAACCCCATGAGGGCTTGGATCCAGCCAATGCCAGTACCTTGCACCGGTGCATGCATATTTTTCTCATGCTGCACTCCTCTCAGTAGTCCCTTGCATCCTTCCCAGGATCAATTTATGGAGTAGTGAGACCTGCACAAACAAACGGCGTTGGGGGAAATGCTCCTCTTCTGTCAGTGGGGCTGTGTTTGCGGAAGAAGGGGCAGCCTCCAGTTGAAAATGTCAGAAACAGTAGTTGAACAAACACATATCTGACACCAAACAGAACATACAGATTTCATGAAAAGCTATTGCACAAGAAAAAAAAGTTAATATAAATGACTAGCACAGGAGCCACGGTGGCTCAAATGTTAAGACGCTGAGTTGCAGACTGGAAGGTCAGTAGCTCGGCAGTTCAAGACCTTAGTGCCTCATGGCCCCAGCTCCTGCCAACCTAGCAGTTCGAAAGCAAGAAATTGCAAGTAGATAAATAGGTACCGCTTCGGTGAGAAGGTAACAGCATTCCGTGCACCTCGGCATTTAGTCATGCCAACCACATGACCACGGAGAAGTCTTCGGACAGCGCTGGCTTTTCGTCTTGGAAATGGAGATGAGCACCACCCCCTAGAGTCAGATTTGACTGGCTTTCGAGCAAGGGAAACCTTTTTTCCTCCGACGATCAGGGCCATGCCCCCAATGTGATTGACGTGGTTGCACTTCAGGGGGCGGAGTTCCCCCCGGGGCCCGATTCCGCGGCGGCAGAAATTGGGCCTCCGAAGCGGGGGGTTACCCGCCCCCACTTGGCAGCCCTAAGCATGAGACTCTTGCAGAATTGGTTATTCTAGATATCTGTTTCAGGGCCTTTTGCCATGTCTCTCTTAAAAAGGGTTTGCGTTACAGAAAATATTTGGATTTCTTATTGCCACCTTTGTTTCTAGTAGATATTGTGTCACTTTTCTGCAGCTGATAGGCCCCTGGCCTAGGTGTGTTAGATCAGTATTCTTTTTCCTGGCTGAGTGATCTTTGGTCAGGTCTGTTTTGCTTCTCAATTTTGTTCCTGAGCCATGAACCTACCTAACCATGTTCAAGTCCAGTGGCACCTTCAGAACACGGCTGCCCACCTGAATCTACCTAACCATGGTCACCAGTTATTGCTTTTATTGAAGAGACTAAGCAGAGGCTGCCTTAAGGGAATGGTTTCGTTTATTTATTTATTTAATTAATTTCTATCTCCCCCCCCCTCCACAGGCTCAGGGCAGATTAAAACAAATAATAAAGCAGTGGAAACTATCTATATATCTAATAGCCAAGTCACCCCCGTGCGTGCGGATACGTAAATCCGCGCATTGGGGGCACCTAGGGGGGAGGGAGATTTTTGTGCACACTTGGGGCAGTCCCCAGGTGTGCACGAAAATCTTAAAAGTTAAAAAAATATCTGGGGGATACTTAAATCCCCCCCAAAGTCACAGAGCGTCCCCTGCGCATGTGCAGGGAACGCTCTGCAGCCGGCCTCGCCACTGCCTCGGAGCTGGGCGGGAGGGGGGGGAAGCAGCCGCGCGGGGGGGAGGGACTGACGAGGCCTGGCGGTTGCAAGCTACTCAGGCCTCAGTTCGGAGCGGGGGGGGAGGTGGGTGGAGGGAGATCGAGCGGGGTGTGTGTGTGTGGAGGAGACGGAGTAACCGGCGGGAGTGGGGGAGCTTACCTGCTCCTGCTGGTTCCTCCTCCACCGGCTCAGTTTGGAGCTCCCCCGCCCGCCCCCCGCGAGTTTCGCGGGTCTTCTTTCTTGTTACAACATAATTCCAATTAAAACCTGTAGAACCCCAATAATGTAGCTCACAAGATAGCAAACGGTTTAACAAAAGCTCCCAGATGCACCCTGTATGTGGGCCCAGGATGGACCAGAAGATTGGGCAAGTGGGCATAAGCCACCACCGATGGCACAGGTTGACGAAGCACAAAAGAGAAAGAAGTGGGGTGGGAGGCAGGGGAGGCTGATGTAGTTGGACACCGGCCACCTCAATCAGAGGCCCGGGAGAACAACTCCGTTTCACAGGCCCTGTGGAACTGTACATAGTTGTAAATACCTGCTTTAATGTTCCATTTTGTGAGAAAACTATTCTCTTTTGATAGATCGATCTATCCTTTGCACAGCCAATCAGACCAGCTTTACCTTTTACTGTGTAAACAAAGCACTTGTCATTTCCTTCCCTCTGCCCTTTGCTTTTTCTACACACTGGAATGGAATCAGATTCTGGAACTGGAACTCTTTGATCTCCAAAGCTGGCTGCAAGAGGGCCTGCATGTTTTTGAGTGCACACAGTATAAGTGAATATGTTCAGTCAAGCTATGATTTGATTAGTCAGGTGTGGCAGGAATCTTGGTCTAGTAGATATTTAACCCACTTTGTGAACTCTTCCCTTTTCTTTCAGGTGGTCAAGACCATAGGTTTGCGTGAAGTGTGGTATTTTGGTCTTCAGTATGTTGATAATAAAGGATTTCCAACCTGGCTGAAGCTTGATAAAAAGGTAAATGAAATTTTAAGAACTGTTGACCCTTATTTTTGAAGGAGGATCTCTGCTTTGTAAGCATTTTTTATTTGTAGCCAGACCCAACTTAAAGGTTTGTAGCAGGAGTAAAAAAATTTAAAGGTATGTTTTCAGTGCAGATCAACTGAAAACAGGTAACAGCATACACTTGAGTCCTTCGCGGCCATCTTCTCCTTGGCCTAATGCCAGTTGTGGGGGGTGCAGTTTGTTCCAGAAGTTCTTAAGGCTTGGGCACTGGCAGAAAAAGAAGATACCACAATTGTGGATCAGCCATCTAGACTGAGTGTGGGACACAGTTATAGTGGTTAGTGCCGGACTAGAACCTGAGAGAGCCAGGTTCAGATCCCTGCAACTGCTATAAAGCTCACTATACGACCTTGGGGCCCAGAATTAGCTATTACCCTCACAACCACCCTGTGAGGTAGGTTAGGCTAAAAAGTGTGGGGTGGGGAAACCATGCATGCAACCTGGAGCTGCTTAAAGGAAGGACAGGATTTTAAAAACTGTGATAGATATTTGTGTGCCCTTCCTATCTAAATATGCCACATGTATAGCATTCTCAAGAAGATGGTCAGTAATGGGGCGTGGTAGGTAAGGAGCTATTAAAAACATTGTTTGTGGAACCAGGGCTTTGAGTTGTGCCCGGCAGTTGGTAAGGAGCCAGCTGTGTCAAGCATTCAGTCTAGTAAGCACAGCAGTTGTTTCTGGGATACTGACTTGCCCACTTGGTATGGAACCTCATTTGAAAGAAAGAAAGAAAGAGATGAAGATTTACAGCAGTACAGTGACTGATGCCCTGGCAAACTGAACAGTCCCTTATTTTTTTGTGCACTGATACTGACAGCCTTAACTGTTTGTACATAGTCTAGTCCTAGCATGTCTTTTCCTGCTGGAAAATACCTAGCTATTGTTCTTATTCCAGCTAGCGGAACCTCTCAGTTTACATGGCTTAATCTTTTAAAGGCTTTATATGACTAGTTGCCAGGCTGTGTAGAATAGATTGTTCTCATAGATGAATTATAGCAAAAATACTGGTCTAGACATACTGCATTTTCTGAGGGTGTGTGAACCATGGATATCTCTCTTCTAGTTTTATGGTGGCTGTTATAGTTAATACTATACTGAAAAATGATATGAAAGCATTTTACTGTGGCCCTCTCTATAGCTTATTGGACAACACTATATTAATTGATCCATTACATGTTAGCTTTGGGGAATTCTGTCTAAGAGAATTTATTTTATTTTCACTTCTTGCAAACATTTAGTGTGAGCTATGGATAATCAGCTAGAAGTCTGTTGTTGCCTTCTGCTGCTTGAATGGGGAAAAGTGGTTGGAAATGTACTTCCATCATTTCATCACACATGAAAGCCATCTAGACAGTTACATTTCGGACTGATGTTAAGACTTGACTATGTGCTGAGTCCTGAGCAGAAGCATCATTGCATAATACATTTGTTGACAGAAAAAAATCCATTGACAAGCAGAACTTAATGGTCAGCAGTGGGAGGCTGTGACCAAGAGCACACTTAAAACTGGCAAAGACACCTGTAGGAATAGCTTCTAAGAAATTGCTGAGTAATGTGTAGTAATCGAAAATTTTAAAATGTGTTAAAAAGTAAAGCAAGCAGTGATACCCAGTTTGAAACTGAGTTTTCTGGACAGATCACTTCCATGACTAAATAGAGCCTTTGATTTTCGAATGAACCTTGTAAAGTACAGAACCCTGTCTTTCAAAATGAGACAAGACCAATAGTCCGAATTTCTGAAATAAGCCTATGTTAGTTGCAAGATTTTTTAAAATGGTTTTATAAAATTAATACCATTGTGTTCAGCAAACTGCTCACTGTCATTGCCTCTCTTCCACCTCCCCCACTTACCTTCTCCATATCAGGTCTCTGCTCAAGATGTCAGGAAAGAGAACCCCCTGCAGTTCAAATTCCGTGCCAAGTTCTTCCCTGAGGATGTGTCTGAGGAACTGATCCAGGACATCACGCAAAAGTTGTTTTTCCTGCAGGTGAAGGAGGGAATCCTTAGTGATGAGATCTACTGCCCACCTGAAACTGCAGTCCTCCTTGGGTCTTATGCTGTGCAAGCCAAATTTGGAGACTACAATAAAGAAGTGCACAAGTCTGGATACCTCAATTCTGAACGTCTAATCCCCCAACGGTGAGGCTTGGGGTAGGGTGGGGGGCTGACATCGCTGGGAATTTCTAGATCTTTCTGTATAACCAGACACAAAATGGAAGAACTTAAAAACAGGATTTGCAGCTTGCTCAGTACAGAGGACCAGTTTTAGAAACTCTGCTGCACTACAATTAACTTGCTTTGTTTTGGGTGTGCATGTATGTCCTTCAAATATAACCAGCATAACTGGAACAGAGAAGTAATAAGTATGTTATAGTTCATCCTTAGTGATTTCGAACAGTTTGAGATAGGAAATAAAGGGATGATCCTTATAATCTGGATGTTATCCTCACTGATGGATGGCCAGCAATTAACGTGTTAACTAGCAAATAAATGCTGTGGAAAATAATGAATTGTTTTATGCAAACAATGTCTGTTTTCTGCTGGCAACACTGTGTTACTTTTAACAGTGGAGTCTTCCTCAGTTGGGCGATTCCTGTTTCTGTTCAACCCAGTTCTGATTTCAGCAGCTCTAAAATTATCATTAACTGCATTTTAGAAATCATGATGTTTGATGCCTTAATAAAATGTTCGATTTGTCTTTGATGGCATTTCTCCAGTCATGAAGCAAGGAAACCTTTAATTCAATGTTTTAATGTTAATTTCAAAATTATTTTAGTGGTGTCCGGTGGCGGGAGGCATTCCCCATTCCATACAGATCAAAATCTGGGTCAACTGGCATGTACTAAAACTATTAGCTACCATACTTGTAGAAATCTTGTGTGGGAGTAAAGTTGCTTCCTAGTCCATCACCCTTGGACAAGAAAGGCCTTCAGTAACTCTGACTTTGAAAAGTTAATCATCCCGGTGTTCGCACACCACGCCTTATGGCTAATCAACGTTGAATAAAAATTCCAGATTTCACAATTTTATGGGCAGCCTTCATAGCCAGGATTATGCAAACCTGGATTACTGGTGCAGAACTGCCTAATACAATCCACTTGCCCATTTGGGGATAAAAGTCTATAGAGACAACAGGTTTTTGATGTAAAGTTCATGGGGCCATACATCCGTACAGATGATGATGTTCCTGTGGAATTATGCTGTGGATCCAGGCCTCATCAGCCTGCACTGAAAGGTCAGTGGGAAGGGCTAGGGCGTAAGACCCTTTTCAGAGCTTTGGTTCATCTTTAAAAAACAGTAATGACACAATATTTTTTCCCCTAATACAAACTTGTAAGTGTGAAAGTCTTATAGGCAATTTGCCCTTTGTGCTACATTTTGCTAATAAAGCGGTTGTGCTTTTTATGTTATGCAAAGTGTGAGAACCTTTAAATACTAATGATGAGGCTCCTGAGAGGAATTGTGAATCTCATAGTATTTTTCTTTCTGTCAGAGTGATGGACCAGCACAAACTCTCTAGAGAACAGTGGGAAGAACGGATCCAGGTCTGGCATTCTGAGCATGGTGGAATGCTCAAGTGAGTTATCACCCTGAAATACTTGGTTGTTTAATACCCTCAAGTGCTTTCTATTGTGTTTCGCTTTTTAAAAGAAATAGCATTTCCAAGACCCTTAACAAGCCAGAACCTTGCAACTTCCCATACGACTGCACCCTAAGAAGGTAAACTAGTCAAGAACAATTCAGAGCTCTTACAATATGTGCCTTTATGTTAGTGCATGGAATGTAAACATGACACATGCAGATATCCCAGTATCATGCATACAATGTGGCTGTAAGAGATTATGACTGAAGTTGCTGAGATGATCTCAAGAGCACAGCAAATAATCAGCATTTACTGTTTGTTGTAAAATGAAGCGTCTGCATGCCTTTTGTCAGGTCCTTTCCTCTCTCTCAGTGAGTGACATTGTTTTTCCCATTGGCCTTTGGGCCGATCTTAGAGCATTTGGTAACCTTTTTGTGTATGATTTCTCTATCAACCAGGGAGAATGCCATGCTGGAATACCTGAAAATTGCCCAGGACTTAGAAATGTATGGAATCAACTATTTCGAAATCAAGAACAAAAAAGGGACAGAACTCTGGCTAGGGGTAGATGCACTTGGGCTGAATATTTATGAGAAGGATGACAAGTAAGTTGGAGTTTTATTGTTCCTTTGTGAGCCTGAAGAACAGAGGCTAGTGCCAAAGAACTTTCTCTAGGTATTTCTATAGCAGCCTTATCGGTGCAAGTCACCTTGGCTTTCAAAGTAACCACTGAATGCATGCAGTTGTGCTGGGACGGAGGTGTGCCAAAGTGACATGTCTTTGCCTATCTCCAAACTATGACTGGATTCTGCCCTTGAGCTCATGTACTAGCCTGCTATACTGGAAGGGCAGACAGGGGTCAAATAAAATAATCTGTATGTTTGGTGAAGGTAAGCTAATGATAGGTTTGGGAGAAACTCCAGGGGCCATGAAGTCCATCTTCAGTGCCAAAACATTACACAAAGGCAAGATTAATGATCTCTGGCATATATTTTACAAAACGTATAATTAAGGGGGGAATGGGTAGTAGGCAAAGGGAGAGCTGAAAGGCCATGGAGAAACAGTCAGGAAATGGGAATCAGAGCCAAGAGATGGTGCCGTACAGGTCCTTTATACAGTATATCTCTACCCCCATGCCTGTTCTGCCTAGGATGGTGCTACAGTGCAGTATGACAAACTTTCTGGCCTATCTAGGGCTCTCTGAAAAAAGGGAATTAGAATTAGTGTACGTAATGTTAGGACTGGTATACACAGGGAGGTCACATTGATAGTGATGTTAAGGCGGGGGTGTAAGGAAACATTTGGAAGAAAAAATACCTTTTCTCTGAGGACTTTTCAATGTTCCATTTTTAAATATGCTAAAGAAGGGGGAAATGGGAACTTTGAGATGCAAAAAGAAGTGCTCTAATGAAATATTTTCTCTTTTGAAATGCTTTTAAAGGGAAGGTTTTACTCATTCAGTGTGTAATATGAAGATTTTATGTAAAACCAGCTTTAGATAATGATTCCTCTGTGTAATCTAGACATATGCAATATATTTTCAAAGGTATGTTTGTTTACATGTGACAGATTTAGCCATAAATATGCTATGAATATAATGATACAGTGTTGGATAGTTAAGTGTCTTCATTTCAATGTGATATCCAGACACTGCTAGTGTTCTTGTAACTGTGTAAAATCATTTCTGTTCAAATAATTTTCTCTGATTTATAAATCAAAGCTCACGCAGGGCTGGACTGATAAAGGAGGCTGCTGCCAACCAATCTGGGTGGCAAGTCCAGCCTCCAGTTGGCCAGCGTTCTTATGCCGAGCCTCAACTGGCTCCCCCCACCCACCCTCATGATCATTTCAAGGAGATGGGGGTGGGCAAACACCGGTACCTGCTCCACTCTGCAGGCACCGGTCTTTTCTCTGATTCACTATAAAATTTGTTTTCTATTTTCAACTTCTGTTTTTCCTACCTCTCAAATGACAGAAACTAAGATGCATCTGCAAAGACAGGATATGGTACAGCACTTTGCAACCCTCTCTTGAGCATTGGGTATATTTGCAGTTTTGCATGTAGAAACAGTCCCATCCTATGCAAAGTTAATGGAGTAATGCCGTGTAAGATTTCATTCTAAGGCATTTCTACTCTTTAAAATGATAAATATGCTAAATAGTACAATTGATAAGAACATGTGTTGCACACATTTCAGTTTATTCAAAAATTTCTGGTGTTTCCTGGGAAAAAGTCCCCCTCAAAATTTCTGGCAACTCGTAATTGTGGGGTAAATTGTTTTACTATGTTCCAGTTCCTAGCTGGCAACGTTAGTGTTAACCTGGAACCTGATTAGGCTGCATCCTTTGTGCATAGATTTGAAATTGATCATTTTAGTAGGTAGCTAAGAGGTCTTATGAAAGAGAGGTGGGAGAATGGTCTGAGAATCAGAAAGCAAAAGAGAAGAAATGTCACAAGAACCAAATGTAAAAAGAAACAGTTCCTGTACACGTGCATGTCTGCTGAGTATCAGGATGCTCAGAATCAGGAGCTGAAGAGAGATAAGGAGAATGCATGACATGCAAAGCAATATACTTGCAAATTCTGACTTTACTTTTATTACTTGTACTAAGTGCAGGCTATAAGCCATGTAGTCGTACAAGAAGGAGACTGGCATGTACAAGTGATTTCTAGGGGCTGAAAAGAGGATAGGCTAGTTTCTAGTATTATCTTCAATAGAAATTGCAATGAGGTTCTCGTTGAAACTGCAAAGTACAAGCCTGATTCCCTTCTGCAATTGTAATGTGCTCCTGTTGCCCAGAAAACAGGGAGTGTCACTGAAGTTTATTGCATGAGTGAAACTGCTTCTAGCTGTTTGAATGACGAGCCTCTTCGTGTAGCCACAGTCACACAAACAGGTTTTGCAAGCTGCATATAATGCCTATAGAATGGAACCCTAGCCTCAAAAGGAAAATAAAGGGAATTGTGTCTATTAACAAACTAAGTATTGGTATGTTTCATTATTAATTCATGCTCTTAACATGAAGTGGCTGGTGAATTTCTCCTGTCTCTATACAATGATCTTTTAAAAATTGGAGCTGAGGTGTACTGGGAGAGCAGAACAGGGCAAATCACATCTGTGGTAACCCAGTGTTTAACATAACCATATTTGTGCCTCTGCTTTTCATAATGAAAACAAATTCTTGCCTGCCCACATTAATTATTATGCTAGTATTTCAAGATGGGGCAAGATTACAATTACTATGTTACAGTTGTAATTTAGTAAATTACCTTTTCCATATCAGCGCATTGGGGATACATTGATTTCTCTTCTCCCCCCCCCCCAGTGTACTTCCAAATAAAGCGTATACACCAGTGGTTATTTCTGAAACCTCTTTGAATGCATGGAGTACAAATAGGTGCTACATTTTTCATTTTGGTAGATATGTCATTAGATGCAGATATCCTTTTATTTAACTTATTCACACCATAAATAACATACAAAAGTAAACATAGACTAGAAGATGGCATAGCACAACAGAAGGTTCAGTAGGGATTAGTAAAAATGACATATAGAAGAAAAAATAGAATTTCTATAATTATTGTAGCCAACTAGCCAAGTCCAACCACTGAGTATTAGTGATACATTAGCAAAAGAATAATGTAGATGCACTTTCAAAATATATTGACATTCCAGTGAAGTGTAATATTATAATCAGTAATCAACATCAACAATATCAGGGTGGTTTAGTACCTACTAACTTAGGCCAAGTTACATATTTTTACATCTCTCTCTATAATAATGCTGTTTTAAAGTGGCAACGTTCCATGCACTCCCATTGGATGTAAAATGGCTCTCCCACAGCCATTGGCCCATTAGCTGCCACTCAAGAGTACTTGCGTGTCATTGGCTGGGTGCTGGGTCGGCTGCTCTTCCCCACCCACTCCCCCTTCAGCCACTCTGCCCTGTCAGAATTACTTGC